ATGTGCACGTATCACTAATTTAAGAGAAACAAAAAACTAATTATCGAAGAGGGTCTTCAAATTTTATTTAGCTGTAATAGTAAGATTCCAAAGTTTTCGGGTTCCAATATTATAAAATCATGATAGAACTTTACTTGGGATTTTAGAAATTATAGTCGGAATTCAAGTTTACGTAATTATATAACAGATCCCTGCGAATTGTGTTGATGATTCAGAATGGATAATATATCTGTGTGTATGTGTATACATGTAGATGAGAATACTTTACTTTGGACTTTTAGAAATTATAATCGAATTTCAAGAATAGGTGTGCATGTGTGTACATGTAGATGACAATTTGGCTGATAAGAAAATAAAGGATAAGATTGTGAGCTTATTTTTCAAATTTGAGGAGCTGAATGTATAATTGTGTAAGCACTAGATTAGAACAAGAATATAGGAAATTAGAAGATACAAAATTAAGATCAGCGAATCAAATTGAAAAGACAGTCGACGCGAAGAGCGCCACACATGTTCACACGAAATTCCCCTGCACCATCGCCGCTGTCATTATTGCGCTGCTACCTGCTGCCGTGTCTTTAACCGGTGAACCAGCTCAAACGAACACTTGAAACCGCCAGCTTTTTTTGACGCCCCAGCTTGTAACAAGCCTCTCTCCTTCTACTCTACATGAGAAGATGCTCCTCACCTTTTACCCGCGTTGCCCAACCAACCTCCACTAGATTCGCGCAAGAGCATAGGAGCAGGGCCACAACCATGCCCAAGATCTCATGAAGACTATCCTAATCAACCCGATAGCCTCCCCTTCCTCTAGTGTGTCATCCCGCGACACCACATAAAAGAAACACAGAGCAAGAGACCTCTTCAGCCTAGATTATCAAGGCTGGAAAAACCCTCAACCGAAGCATCCCGTCAATGGCCGCACTAGACAAAACCAATGGAACCTCGCGTCATCGCCTGTCGCCGTGCTCCCCATTGCCCACATCAACTCCTCGATATTCCTCGCAGAGAGGTGCCAACAACACACGAACCGTCCCATGTCGATAGGGGAGCGGTGCGGCACTCCCAGTCGCATCTTATGCATATTTCGTCGATCTTCATTTCCCTGGAAACCAGCCAACAGGCCGAGGTCGTGATTGTCATTGACTGGGACTACATGATGCTTGCTTGTCTCTCGGACGAGAAAGTTTTTTAAGTTAAGGCCTTCCAGAACCTGGGCAAGTTCATGTCTCCTAGCTGGAAACCTTGCCCCTTCAGTCTTTCCCTGACTACCGTAACCGCTTGGCTCTTTCTTATACTTTCGAGAATAGTTACACCAAACTTTGTTCTGTAAAGGATTACTGGACAAAAGGCTTCTGTCGCCTCTACGTCCCTCCACCCACTAAGTAAAGGTTCCACTTGCAATCTTTATGGGAAACGAGTGATCAGGATAGCTTCTTTGTCTGACGTGGTTGTGGGCCATACTCTTACCTTGATAAGTTCTTCTGAAGCCTGGATCACCTTTTCCCCTACACATTTGAGGCGTTGTACTAAGTGTTTGTCTTGGCGCTGTTCTCTCCAAATCTGCACTCTTATCCCTTAACAGCCATTTCGTCAAAACGGACATATTATATTTTTTGAACGAAATTAAAACTGACTTTTTTTGCCAAAATCCGGTCGGAATTTTTTGCTCCTGGGGGTCCGGCGTTCCCAAAACGCCGGACCCCCCTGGTCTATGGTTGAG